TGCCTTCTGATATTTGTTCTAATAATTCTAGTTTTCACTGTTTTTGTTTTTGTTTTGTTTTTTTAAACATGTTACGTGAAACATGTTATGAATTGGTATTGCCTTTCTGAGACAGCGCCTGTGGAGGAAGTGAGAATATTTTGCCGAGATAGAGCCATTTGTCATATTAAATAGCTTAGATTGTCCTTGTTGTGTGGGTGGGTGTGTGTGTGTGTGCCTGTGTGTGTGTGTGTTGTATGAGTGGGAGAGAGCGAGAGAGAGAGAGAGAGAGGGATGAGCTGAAAAAGCAGTCTGCATACATATATATATATGACTTCTAAAGTGGGTCATACTGTAGTTGTTTCCCCTTCACAAACACACATGCTCTTCCACACATATATCTTTGAATAGGCCATTCTGTCACATCACTGGGGACAAAAAGAAGAGAAGGGTTAGTTTGTCTCGAGTACTTGTTTCTTATGATGTCCTATTTTTTGTCTTCTGTGCTAGTGTGAGTGTGTTATGAACATCACCTGTCACTTTTAATATTTTTGTTTGTTTGTTTTCAACAATTGTCTGATGTCCCCTCAGGACATCCTGAAGCTGAACTGCAGCTTCCTCTCATGGTCAAAAGTAGGCCAGAGACAGAGCCCATCTCCCTTTCACACTAATGGTGGGGGTTAAACAGGCTTAATTCAGCACAGCTACCATTTTAAACATTTAGCCAATCATTAGTTCCACTGCTGACGTAGGAAGTGCCCTACATGGACCTCTGTGTCTGACAAATGGCTTTTTATGGTCTCTGTGTTTGTGTGTGATTATGACAGTTGCAACTTTAATTGATCTGCCTGCTTGTTAGAACACAACCAGATAGAATCCCCCTCAGTGTCTCATCATTCACATATGATGGGAAGATCTTCCTCATAAGAGAGCATGACAAGGCATTTACATTTGACCATTTCTCTCAGTTTTTGAGTCACCATTCATCTCTCCTTTCAAATATCATACAAGGGGGAGGGTTGTCTTCTATTTTAAGGCACATCTTGAGCTGCATGTCTTATAGAATCTGGCAGCTTTACAAAAGGAAAGTCCATATCCTTTCTTTCTTGTAACTGTTTGTGTACATTAAATTTCGGACGTCAGTCGATTAAAGATATTTTTTAATTACATGGTATGCCAATTAATTGATCAAAGTAATCACAAATCACTTAGATCAGTCTGCACTATCTTTTAGTTGTTGGTCTGTGTACACATGCATGAAATGGCTGCTGTGTCACTTTTTGCAGTTTTTGAACTGCTTCGATGGAGGGAAAATTCTTTTACGAACAGGGGCATGGTTAAAAGTATTACTTTTGTTCACACACATATTTTTAAATAATTCTTTGTAATTCATTATTGTGTTAAATTGACAGCCTTCTTTTAAACATTGAGTGAAGTCATACAAGTAAATGTTGTTCTTGTGTTAAAACAAAAAGGATCTGTAACCTGTACACCTTATAAGCCACACATGTATATATATCATTGATGAGGAGCTTTGAATAATTTATTCATCATAATAATAGGGTTATTATAAATGTGCACATGGTATGGAGGTTAAAGAAGTATACTAAATTATAGATTGAGTGCCAGGTATTAATGTTCCTTCTACTTACAGTAGTTTAGTTAATTTGTCAAGATGCTTATGAGGTGTAGAAGTACTCGTGAGCCTGTCATGGAAAATATGAAAGATACAAACACCAACCAAACATAAAACAGTCTAACTTTAAACTACACTCTAAAAAATGCTGGGTTGTTTCAACCCAATGTTGGGTCAAATATGGACTAACCCAACTGTTGGGTTAAATTTTGGTTACATTTTTAAATTAGCTTTTTAACCAAACAGTTGGGTTGAAACAACCCAGCATTTTTTAGAGTGCATGTTTGTTGTCTGCGTTACAATGTGTGTTTTACGAACCTTGGACTGTGTCATCTGTGTCTGTATGTGATATGATTAACACTACATGGTTGTAGTGTTACAATAAACTGTGTCAAAAGTAATCTTTATTGTAATCTATCTCTCTCTCTCGCTACCTTTTTTTAATAGTGTGGAAAGGGGGCAGAGAACTTTGACAAGTTCTTCACACGCACACAGCCACAACTGACCCCTCCTGATGAGCTGGTTATCGCCAACATCGACCAGGCTGAATTTGATGGATTTTCCTTCATCAACCTTCAATTCATCCATCCCTCCATCATCAACAGTGAATAAAATGGGAAAAAGAGGGAATGAATGTGAATCTACCTACTACCCCAAAACTCTGCCCTTGCCTTTACCCTTTTATCTAACAAATGTTAAATCAAAACCACAACTCGCGTCTTAAATTATGTCCAGTCTTTTTTTTTTGTTTTGTTTAAAAATCTAGCAATTCTTCTTCACTTTTTTCACATCATTTCAATGTAGGCCAGTCGAAGAGTTTACCTTAATGATTGAAAATTGATTGAGAGATTTTTTTTAACACTTAAACTCTGGTTAGGAAGGGCTGTTTACATTACAAACTGTTTGTTTGACTTAGTGCAGACCAGTATTTAAAAGTCTAGGACGCCATATTATCTCAAGCCACTGGTGGCTGACACAGCATGATCTTGCCACATCTGCCCAAAGCCCCATAACAGATATAGAGTTGTGTGCTTCCTAAGACTTCCCAAGTCTTCCCATTCAGGATTTCTAAAGGTAATCGCCAAAGCCAATGGGGTTTCTGCCTTCCCCGTAGTACTATACCAATTTATCTATTTACAGAATTATTCTGGTGTCAGTTTAAGTACTCACTTTTTGGAGTCTCCAGTGTTTTCTCATTGTAAGTATCGTTAAATGTTTTAAATAAAATACTAAACATTTCTAAGTGTAATATTTGCACATATTTCGGGTATGACATGACAACTTGGCACTCCAGTTTAACACTTGTTTGCATTTTCTGTTTGTTCTATGGTAAAAAATAATAATAAGCGTGCCAAGAGTTTCTACAATCCACAATCAGAGCTTTGGATGCGTGAGATGTTATGAAAGGTTTCATGTTTCAAGGGTTTTATGTTTAATGCGTTTTATCTCACAGTAAACACATATACACTTTTACCCATAAAAATGACAATAATAAAGGTATTACCTCGTTATCCATTTAATTCACCAAATGTTTTTAAAATATCCTCTTTTTTTCCATAGTAGAAAATATCCTGTGAACATGAGAAAATTTTGTGCATGTGTGTGTTTCAGTAATGAGAGATATTATGAGAGGAAGAAATATTGAAGTGTTGGCATTTATGTCAAGCTCTGATTATGTTGTTCTCAAATTCTCATTGTCTGCATATAAGTAAATATTGAATACTAAATGTTCATCTCTGCTATATCTGCAGAAGGACATTTACATCATTGTTTGGATTTAACATAATTGACGGTAAAATGTAACATCGTTATGTCATATTTCTCCTCTTGCTGCTTCAACATTTTGGTTATATTTAATAATACATGCTATTTAAACAGTATAAGAACCTTTTATACCAATTAAATGTGACTTCAATACATTACAAAGGTGACATTTCTGTGTTATTAGGGCAAATTTACAACTGAGGGAAAATAATGAAAGCAAGTTTGCATTAACTCTTAAGGAAATAGCTCAAAAATGGAAATTCTGTCATTGTTTACTCACCCTCAAGTTGTTCCGAACCTGTATGAGTTTCTTTATTATGTTGAACTCAAAAGAAGATATTTTGAAGAACGTTGGTAACCAAACAGTTGTCAGTAGCCATTAACCTCCATAGAATTTGTCCCCCTTAATATGGATGTCAATGGCTGCTGGAATCTGTTTGGTTTACAGCATGAGTAAATGACAGAATTTTCATTTTTGGTGAACTGTCCCTTTACCTAAAACTGAAGTACAATTATTAGCTGGTTTAAATGTTTTTAGTAACTTTAATAGTCCACATTTTAATTATCATTGTCCCTTTTAAATGTGTAATTTTGTATTAACCACATCATTACACAGTCAGCTACTATAATGCTATTATTCAGGTAGATATTTGTGTAATTGTTATCATTGGTGTGTACTGTTGTAGACATTGTAATATGACATGGAAATGACCTTGTACTTTGCATAATGAAATCCTTTACAAATGTGCTTTCGCCATTCGATTTTTCAACTGTACTTTGTCAAAACACCTTTGCTTTTGGCTGTTATGTGTGACCTGATCGGATTCCATTTTAAAGTGTGAGCTGATTGGCTGCTGGCATCCTACTATGGTCTGATAACTTGCCTTTGCTTGCATGTTTTGGTATGAAAAGGATCCACTTGAAAAGATGTGTGTGTATTTATGAGGAATGTTTTGTTATCAATGGAATATAAAATTGAGATTATAAGCTTATTACAGCATGGAGTATGAACAAGCCAGATACATATGATACATTTATCTCCATTCACATATTTAATAGTGTAACTCTCAATTTCAATTATTTTAATGTCTTGATATTGTAGTTTGTGATATTCTGTATGTTCTTCTTCCCATCTTTTTCTGCTGTTAGAAGTAATGCAAATTATGTAATACATTTCAGAATTAGATGAAAATCACACATGGTACAATCGGCTTGTTTAGATTTTAGATCACAGGTGTCAGTTTTCTTCTAGCACTAATATACTTGCCAGTTTGATATTTTTCCCCTCTTTTTTGTCACGTAACAGCAAATATATGGAAATTTGGCACCATTCCTGTAGTTTAGATCAGCTCACTTATGTCTTCTCTTTTATTTCTGTGGATTTAATAATGTTGATCTTGCCGTAAAATCCCATCAGTGCTAAAAACATCTGTTGAAATCATATGCAAACTCCCATCTTTCTTTTCTTGGATCTTTCCAAAAACCTGCTTTGTATCAGTGCCATACTGAACCCAGCAGGACCATTGTTGCACTAACTGCGTAGCCACAACGATGTTTGCCAGAACTGAATCCAGTATTTTGAGCACTAGTCTCATGTAGCTGTACTGTTAACTGAATGCGGTTACTGCTCTTGAGATCGCAACAGAGCATCTCTTGCTTTGTGTATCTGACATTCAATCATGTGTACTACCTTGGCTGTTGTAAAGAAAGTTGCATAGCCATTTTTTAAAAACAGGTTTAACATGGCATGCTTTGAGTTTCCTCTACTGTAAGATGATCCATCTGCCTTACCCAATTCTTTCTATTCCTGTGCTGCTTAATTAAAGATTGAATACATGAGCAAATGGATGATATGAATGAAAATGGATGAATATTAACATTATTGCTTGTTTGCCTCAGTTGTTTAGCTTTCCCTTGCAGGAAAATTTCACCCAAAATTTGGAACGTTTGTCATCATTTACTCACCCTCATGATGTTCAAAATCTGCATGACTTTTTTATTCTGTGGAACACAAAAGATATTTTGAAGATTGTTAGTAGCCAAAACCGTTTTGGTTACCATTGTATAAAAAATATTGATATGTTTATTAGAATATCTTCTTCCACACAAGATAGAAAGTCATACAGGTTTGGAAAGACATGGGAGTGAGTAAATGACAGAATGGGGTGAACTATCCCTTTAAATGTACTGTATCTGCTTCTTTAGTCATCTCTTGTCATCAATTATAATTGTTAATTAATTACACCCATATTATAAAAAACACGGTGGAATTACCTTTCCCAATTAGTCAGCATTTCATGTTTGTTCCGGTACTATTAAGTTTTGTGTTTGTCGAAGAGGAGAGCAAGAACTTTGCTCCTCATTTTATCATACTATTTTTTCATTACTTTGTGTTGTTCTTTATGTGTAGATTGGATGGTACATCACCCTGTTGTCCTTTTGCTTTGTGTGATTCAGTCCACCTGTTTTATTTCCATCTGTTGAATTTTTCATTTTCATTTAGAGGACAAAATCAACAGAATGCCTTATTTTGCTCCCTTTGTCTCTCAAATAGCAAGGTCCTGAATTGAACCCAAAGCACTATCTCTGTTCTTATACATAATATTGATCCATAACATATAAATAAACCCAAGTAAAATGTATTTTGTAGCAGTGTATGTTAGCCCTGCCTTTGTTGTCTTAACAGAATATATGCTTTTCCATGCAATCCTTGTTGCCATTTATACCTAATGTATGATATTGCTAATAAAGAAGGGAAAATGTAACTCAAGTCTGCTGATGTCCCTTATTGAAGATGAAGCTGACACTGACTGTGGTGATCTGTTATCGTGTCTCATGCACCAGAGCAAGGTGCAGATAAAAAAAAAATTATGCTAACAGAGTCAAAAGAAGCATAAAATGGTCATTCTATATATTTTAACCAGAAGCTCAGGACATCCCTGTTAAAAAAACAAACCTAACCAGCATATGCTGTTTTTTTCAACAGGAATTGTCAGTCGTCTTACCAGCACATTTACAGTAGACCAACAGGATTTTTCCATTGACACATTCACAGAAAAATATTTTTATTTGCATTTAACACTCAATCAAAATTTCACACTGCTATGGATGAAAACTCTATGCAGACCATATACAAGTTTTGTATGTGTGTCTGTTTGTCCAGAAGCATCTGTGTGTGGGTCTTTCCAATTATTCATGAGATTATATATGGATAAGATTTCCACAGACCATATAAACCTCAACATCCATAATAAAGTCTCAAGTGGTGCATCCATGGACCATTTACGCGGAGGAAAACGAGTCTGTGAGGGATATATTTACATTCTTTACGATGGCACGCACTGCCTTATAAAGGTCCTAGATTTCATAATTTTCACAACTCGCAACTTTAAAAACTGTTTTGTTGAGTTTTGTCTACTCTTTACGATGGCACGCACTGCCTTATAAAGGTCCTAGATTTCATCATTTTCACAACTCGCAACTTTAAAAACTGTTTTGTTGAGTTTTGTCTACGGGTTTGTGTGTGTGTGTGTGTGTGTGTGTGTGATTCGTTTTAGCGGTTTCAGATTTACCCGACCCTACACATCAAGCTCAAAAAAATGATCAAACGTTAAAGTTTATGGCATTAATCAGCCTCTGCAACACCCATAACACATTACCCCAAATACAACATCCAACATCCTTAACATAACAACAGTCATGGCACAGACTACATCATCTACCTCAAACCAATAATACAAGAGCAATGACAAGTACGCATACAAACAGTCGTTGTGTCGTTGTCGGTCCGTGACCCGTCAGTGACCCGTCAGTGACGTGCAGAGAGGGAGACAGATGTTAGAGCATCAGCAACACTAAGCCCAGCATGATGTGAAACGCGTCTCACCATATACATGTGTGACGGGTTTTAGAGGTTCGTCTGACTTTCTGCGATGAGATAAAGGCTGTTGAACATTTGCGTGAGAAGAGTTGAAGAACGCGCGCTTCACAGGCACGTCTCAGCGCAGGTAGGCTATGTGGAACTAATAATAACTGTTGTGTGCGTTTGATAATATGAGCTCATGTGCAGATTTAAACATGCTGTAACATTTGACAAGACTCGTTCAAAAACCACTGAACATCAATGTAATCCACGTTTTCTTGTTACATTTCTCATTGTATCAGAAACTTTTTTCACGGATTTGATTTGCTGCACGAATAAAACATATAACAGGTACTTGAAGACCAACAACACATTGTTGAGTCGACACGGCTAATAAATACAGCAAATACACATTAAATAAACTACTGTTAATTCATAGAACATTTTATTATTTATTTGTATTATTTATTATTATAGGCTAGATGTTTTTACATTAAAATATTTAGTCTATATTTTATAGGAAAAAATATACGTGGAGTAGGCTACGCTGAAGAGAGAATAGATGATGGCTGCCACAGCTCACAGTGAATTGTCGTTGAAAGCGGGTTCACCGCTTCAGTAACCAAGGACAGTTTCCCTCTGTCTGGGAGCCTCTGAAGTGGGCTAATAGTTTGCTGTCATTCCGAATTTTGCTGCGTGTATTCTTTCCCTCTCTTCCCTCTCAGTTTTACGCTGCAATGTCATATAGCCTATGCCGCCGTCTAATCATTATCCGTTACTCTTAATTAACAACTACTAACATTGTTTTTACTAACATGTTTGTGTGTGTGTGTGTGTGTGTGTGTGTGTACCTGGTATTCCCTAGGTTATGGGGAGCAAATGTCCCTACAAGTATAGTAAAACCGGTCAATTGTGACGTTTTTTTTTTGGTTGTTTTATTTTTGGTCCCCAAGAGGAAACAAGCTTATAACACAGAACAGAGTTTTTTGAAAATCTAAAAATGCAGACAATTTTTGTGAGTGGTAGGTTTAGGGTTAATGGGTAGGGTAAAGGAGATATAGAAAATGCATCTTGTACAGTAGAAAAACAATTACATCTATGGAATGTCACCATAATGATAGGAATAGGCTACCAGTGTGTGTGTGGCCTACAATATCCCAGTGTTTTGTATCCTATATCCAGAGCAATATGGGGTGCCAATTTATCAGTAGCCTATATACAGGGGCGCCGCTAGCAATTTTGGGTTTATCAATCATGATCTTACTCAGCTAATGTGACTATTAGCTTAACAGCTGTATTCCTTGTTTGCTAGCTACCTATGCACATACAGCATACAATGTTAAAAATGTTCTACATTATGAACCTTAACCCAAAAAACCTTTAGCTTCATACACAGTAGATAATTGTGACCCTGCCTGTGGAAACCCAGCTAAAGTATTTTTTTAACAGTGGATGAGTAATTCACTCCTTGATTTGCTTAATAAAATCCTCCTTTGAGATCGTTTTGACAGACATGTTTATCGTGTATTATTTTCAACGTGTTTATTGCTAAGTTTAGTGTGGCAAAATAGAAGTGCTGCCGTAATTTGCGTGCAGTGTATCTGGTTGCCATGACAACCTCAAAATAAAATCCTCCTTTGAGATCGTTTTGACAGACATGTTTATCGTGTATTATTTTCAACGTGTTTATTGCTAAGTTTAGTGTGGCAAAATAGAAGTGCTGCCGTAATTTGCGTGCGGTGTATCTGGTTGCCATGACAACCTCACGCGCTTCTTGCTGCTGCTCTATGTAATCAGAGTGTGAATTTGTAGATTTTCTATAGCAAAACTAAAATGTGTTTAAAAGTGCGACTGACCAAATCGTCCGGCTCGGTTTGCCCCCCCCCCCTCGAACTCGAAGGCATCTCTAACTTGACAGTTTACTATCTGATATCACTCAGTGACTCTAGGCTACATAGAACGGGACGAAACCATGCAATGAATGGGGGGAGATAATTTTGTCGGAAATGCAGAAATAAGCCATAATTTTGTTTTATTTGTAAGTCTTTGGTAGATACATTTATAATTTCTATTACATTACTACTACTATTGTTACTACTAATAAAACAGATCTCTGGGGGCCCCAAAAGTTCAAAAAAATTCAAACAAGTCATTTGTGTGAACACATATTGAAACATTAAAAAAATAAAGTTATTTGTGTGAAAGCATTTAATTCACTTAAGTTAATGGTACGTGTTTGTGGTCACAGTTTCATTCATGGATCCTTATGTCATATACGACTGACTGACCAATATTGACTAGCCTACAACTTGGATATGATTCCTAAAAGTTTCACAACTACAGCACACATTACAGACATTGATGCACAAACGCGGATATGTTCTACATGTCTACAGTATAGAATGAATAAACCAGTCTTATAAACTCCTTGATTTCGCTTAAGCAACTTTAAATATAATATGCATGCACAATAAACTATTGTAAAATTTATTTACATCACTTGACAGAAACATTTTTGCAGGTTTTTAAAAAATGTAAATTAATAACAGTCATAATAAGCATATTCCAGTACGCGTCTCAGGCTTGCACAGTATCGTCAACTCACTCATCAGAATCTTCGATAATCCTCTGCAAACTTTGCCACGGCTCATTCGGTTCTTGTTGAGTCCTCGGTAATCCTTGGTAAACTTCGACAGTTGGTTGAACCGGCTCAATCGGTTCGTTTTTGGTGATTTTCCACTGTGTGGTACGGTACGGCTCGGCTTGGCATGGCTCGGCTTGGCTCGGTTTGCGTTTCCACTGCAGTTTAGTATGGCTTTAGAATGGGCGGGATTATTCACATGTCGTTATAGTTGCGCCGCCTCTACTGCCGCGACTCCTAAAAAACTTTTTCATTCCGCGTTGCCCCATCAAGCTCTCACTGGATCCGCTCTTCTGCTATCAACGAGAGGAATGTCAAGTCAAGTCAAGTCAAGTCCCCTTTATTTATATTGCGCTTTTAACAATACAGATTGTGTCAAAGCAACTGTACAACATTAATTAGGAAAATAGTGTGTCAATAATGCAAAATGACAATAGTAAACACAAATTTTTCAGTTAAAGGCAGTTCATCATTGAATTCAGTGATGTCATCATCCAGCTCAGTTCAGTTTAAATAGTATCTGTGCAATCAAGTCAACGATATCGCTGGAAATGAAGTGTCCCCAACTAAGCAAGCCAGAGGCGACAGCGGCAAGGAACCAAAACTCCATCGGTGACAGTATGGAGAAAAAACCTTGGGAGAAACCAGGCTCAGTCAGGGAGCCAGTTCTCCTCTGGCCAGACAAAACCAGCAGTTCAATTCCAGGCTGCAGCAAAGTCACATTGTGCAGAGGACTCAACTAGCTCCTGTGGTCTTGTCCCGGTAACCGTCTGAGACAAGGTCTTTACTGGGGATCTGTATCTGGGGCTCATCTAGTTGTCCTGGTCTCTGCTGAGGGGTTGTAGAGGTCCTCTCTAGGTGCTGATCCACCATCTGGTCTGGATACGTACTGGATCCGGGTGACTGCAGTGACCATCTGATCTGGATACAGACCGGATCTGGTGGCTACGGTGCCCTCGGAATAAGATAGAAGCAGACTAATATTAGCGTAGATGCCATTCTTCTAGCGATGTAGCAAGTACATCGGGTGTTATGTGTTCCCGGTTCCGGTTGACCTAATTAATGTAGTCTAAAAATCCTTTAACAGATTTGAATATTAGAAATGTGTCAGTGTGTTATGTGTAAGCCAGGTTAAAGAGATGGGTCTTTAATCTAGTTTTAAATTGACAGAGTGTGTCCTCCCAAACAATGTTAGGTAGGTTATTCCAGAGTTTGGGCGCTAAATAGGAAAAGGATCTTCCGCCCACAGTTTATTTTGATATTCTAGGTATTATCAAATTGCTAGAGTTTTGAGAACGCAGCGTACGTGGAGGACTATAATGTTACAAGAGCTTGTTAAAATACTGAGGTGCTAAACCATTCAGGGCTTTATAAGTAATAAACAAGATTTTAAAATCGATATGATGTTTAATAGGTAGTCAGTGCAGTGTTGACAGAACCGGGCTAATATGGTCATACTTCCTGTTCTAGTAAGAACTCTAGCTGCTGCATTTTGGAGCAGCTTGACAACAATGGTACTAAAAGAGAAATGATAGTAATACTTTCTGTATTATTATTTGCTATGTACACTACCATTCAAAGGTTTGGGTTATTTTAAAGATCACCAAGACTGCATTTATTATCATTCATATCATTTATTCATCACAGAGTAAACACAAAAATACTGTAAAATATTATTATTTAAAATAATTGTTTTCTATTGAACTACATTTAATGTATCATTTACATTGTGATGCAAGGCTGAATTTTCAGCATCATTACTCTAGTCTTCAGTGTCACATGATCCATAATTTTTGTTTTTATAAAACATACTCCACACATTTTTTTAAATGTAATATTGAATATACTTAGTATTAAATAAATGACTGCTGGAAATGTTCATGCAACTGACCAGATATAGGCTCACGAGAATTAGCCAGAAATAATCTGAGGTCATCCGCCATTTCATCCACAACACTGACTGCGACGATACCTGGAACATATGCAAACATATGAACAGTCACACATATGCATACTTGCATGCATGCACAGAAAGACAATAATACGATCAATAGTCGTAAGCTATATTTACATATCTACAGCATATTATTGATGGTATACCATAACCACACTATCCCTTAAAAGTGTAATGTTGCATTTTAAAACACTGATAAATCGCATGTGACATTAGATTTTTTTCTCTTCAGAATGTTTTATCATATATGGATACTTTTTTGGTTATGCAGGTTCAGGAATTTCATGCATCTTTTTGCAAAACTTTTGTAAATACATTTGAACCTTGAGTTGTTACAGGACCGATAAGAACAGTTGGTATCGATGGCATAATGTATCATATTGTAATCTGTGGTTGATGTTCTTGTGTTTGGTTGTGATAATAAAAGGAGGATAGGAAAGAAAACTGTTATACTGTATCGCTACCTCCCCATCCATCTTTAATATCCACTCTCAGGTCATCAGAAGGTGGTGGACAGGACTGCAGCCTCCTCACGCACTGAGACTCAAAGTTTTCCAAAAACGCCACTGGAGCATTTTCCGCACACTGGCCCAGTCCAGCGTTCTGCTCACAAGACAACTGGGATTCATATTCATATCACATGCATTAATGTGCACACTCATATAAATTGATACATGCACTAGCAATGTTGCTGCATCTAACCTGTGGGATGGTGAAGTATTGGTCATCCTTAGTGAATATTGGATCCCCCTGGCGGTAGTTAATAGGAGGTACAGGAGCTGTCATCTGCAGGGCTTGGAATGATGGACTGGGCTTTGGAGAGCTGTAAAAACACATGCAAATGTAGAAAAATCACCAAACATTTTGGGATCAGTCATTTTTAATTAGCACTTTTATTTAGCAAGAATTAATTATATGCATTACATAGTTCTTTTGAAATTTCTGTTAATCAAAGAATCCTGATTAATCACAAGAAATGTTTGTTGAGTACTAAACCAGCATATTAGAATGATTTCTGAAGGATCATGTGTTACTGAAGACTGGAGTAATAGCTTCTGTATATTCAGCTTTAGGAATGAAGGAATGAATTACAATTTTAAATATAAAACAGAAAAGCATTATTTCAAATAATAATATTTCACAATATCAAGATTAAAAAATGCTTTCCGCTAGTTTTTCAAATTGGTATGTTTCGCCAGGCCGCAAAGAAATATAGAGCTGAGTATCATCAGCATAACAGTGAAAGCTAACACCGTGTTTCCTGATGATATCTCCCAAGGGTAACATGTACAGCGTGAAGAGTAACGGCCCTAGTACTGAGCCTTAATAATGAGTGTGCTCATTATACCACGGTGTCAGACTGTTTTCCTTAATCTTCCTTAAGCATAAAGGAGCAACTGTATCTAAAATGCTAGAAAAGAGAGAGTCCATAGTTTCTGTTACATCATCAAGTTGTTCTGAGGTTTTGGATATGCTAAGGAATTGGGATAAATCAGGAAGATTACTTACAAAGTAGTCTTTTGTGGTAGAAGTGATGGTTCTACCATACTTGTAACAAGGATTAGAATTTACAGTTTTAGCTATATGAAGTTTGCACAAGACTAAATAATGATCTGAGATATCATCGCTTGGCTGC